TACTACTATTACTGTTACTACTACTACTATTACTGTTACTACTACTACTGCTACTAATAATAATAACAATAACACAAATAATGGCGTGGCTCGATCCTGTTATTACTTCGTTTTCGCCATGTTTGTGGTTTTGGATCAGAGGTCCATCCATGGCACGACACAGAATATGTAGAGGGCGTCATGGAAAATGACAATTATATAATTTTTTGGAATAGACCCAAACCTGACCTTGTCCTTTTTTGTTAAATCCAACGAAATCATTTACATTATTAAATTCACTGTCCCTTTTGACACTAAAGTGGTTGACAGCGGCCTGTAGGCAAACGAGTCTGGACCAGGCAATCCAGTGATTGACATCATGAGCAATGATCCACGCTACGGGATACTGTGACATGCATCAACCAAGTCAGCGAGCCTTACCACCCGATCCCGTAAGTCGCCTCTCACGGCAAGCATGGGTTGCTGAAGTGAGTGAGTGAGTGAATATGGTTTTACGCCGCTTTTAGCAATATTCCAGCAATATCGCAGCGGGGGACACCAGAAATGGGCTTCACACATTGTACCCATGTGGGGAATCGAACCGAGCGAACGCTTTAACCACTAAGCTACCCCGCCGCGTCAGGTTGCTGAGGACCAATTCTAACCCGGATGTTCACGGGACACGCTGTAAGGTTGTTGGTTTGTTGTTTAACGCCGCACTCAGCAATAGTCCAGCTATATGACGTCGGTCTGTAAATAATCGAGTCTGGGCCAGATAATCCAGTGATTAATATCATGAGCATCGATCCATGCAATTGGGATCAACCTAGTCAGCGAGTCTGACCACCCGATCCCGTTAGTCACCTTTTACGGCAAGCATAAGTCACCTTTTACGGCAAGCATGGGTTGCTGAAGACCTCTTCTACCCGGAATCACACGCTGTAAGGCGATGATGGCACACATTGTGAGCACCGGAACCTCATTAGTTTTACAACAACACTATCCTCTTACCCCTAGAAAAGCATTTCCTCTGAAAATTGATCGGAGAAATATCATCAGGGAGAAGGTTCAAACGTTTCTCCCGGGCCATATCAAGGCTCAAATCGTTTAACAAGGCGGACTTCAATTTTCTAAACTGATTGGTGCATCTTGCGATCGCAAGTGTTGTAAATTTATTCCTGTTAGAAAACACACGAGGGTATCTTTCCATGTCAGTGAGTGAGTATGTTTTACGCCGCTTTTAGCAATATTCCAGCAATATCACGGCGGGGGACACCAGAAATGGGCTTCACACATTGTAGCCATGTCGGGAATCGAACCCGGGTCTTCGGCGTGGCGAGTGAACGCTTTAACCACTAGGCTACCCGACCGCCCCCTTTCCATGTCAGATATTGTGGACACGTGTTTCCAGTATGGTTAAATTCTTGCTGTCAAAACTGTTTGAGAGGGCGACTTGCTTGTCCATTGTCCACCGGAGGCCTCTTGGATGAAATCTCGCTGAGAAACATTCATTCTGAACCGTGTGTCGCCAACTTCTATTTTAACAAATTTCTCCACGTTTACAAATGGTAATTCTGATGAATTCCAAAGAGTCCTCGTCATACTGTGTTCTCGTCATACTGAGTTTTTGTCGTACTGAGTTCTCGTCATACTGAGTTCTCGCCATATTGAGTTTTTATCATACTGAGTTCTCGTCATGCTGAGTTTTTGTCATGCTGAGTTCTCGTCATACTGAGTTTTGTCATACTTTGCATTTGAGAACAATAACGTGAACAGTGATGTATGTATGTACGTTTGTTTGTTTGTTTTTTAACGCCGCACTCAGCAATATTCCAGCTCTATAGATGACGGCGGTCTGTAAATAATCGAGTCTGGACCAGACAATACAGTGATAGATATCATGAGCATCGATCCACGCAATTGGGATACGATGACATGCATCAACCAAGTCAGCGAGCCTCACCGCCCGATCCAGTTAGTCGCCTCTTGCTACAAGCACAGACGCCTTTCAGGGCGGGCATGGCAAGCATGCTGAAGACCTGTTCCACCCGGATCTTCACGGGTCTTAAATGTATGTACTAAATGTTGCATGCGTCATGCCATACTCATGATTAAAACACATCTGTGACGTCATTCTATTGTTTGAACGCTCCATTATTTTTCAGGAATGGAGAGTTGCTTGTCAACTGTACATTATCTTGAAGCAGCGTTTGATTTTTTCAAATATTTTCAACTACAGAATAGTTTGTCAAAGTGTAAAAGTAGGGATGAGTTTTAAGTAGGGGAATATCCTCGTAACTCTCCATTCCTTAAAAATAATGGGCCTCTGTTCCATTATTTTTAAGGAATGGAGAGTTACTCGGACATTCCCCTATACGTAATTATTGCCTTTCACGCCCCGACAGCAAATTTACAGTCACACCACGATAACATGTAAATAATCGGGGACATGTTTTGTTTGTTTGTTTGTTTGTTGTCTCAGGAATACTGAGACCTGCATCACTTCGGGCTTTCCTCCCAC